TCTTGTATTTTGTATTATTGGATATATTTTTTCTTTTAATATTAAAAATAAATAAATTTTTATTTAGTTAGCTCAACTTTTTAATATCATTATTTTTGTAAGAAATTAAAACAGCTATTTTTTGTATAACTGTTTTTGGTTAAAATATTTGTATAATTTTTTATTTTTAATTGGCTCAATTTTTTGATATTATTATTTTTGTGAGATTTTGTAAATACATATAACAGTTTATGGCACGTGTACTTGATATATTTATACATGTTCGTGCGCGCGCGCGCGCGCGCGTGTGTGTGTGAGCGTGCGCGCCTGGCTGGGTATGTGTGAGCGTGCGCGCCTGGCTGGGTATGTGTGCGTAATATATACCAATAACATAATATCTGGCAACATTCTATACTCATTTTATACCTAATAGGTTTTTGCGCAATTAATCTCGTATATGCTCGGTCATATCGTTTCAAAGATAAAATCAAATAATTATTTGATGGAAGGAGTAAAATAGAGGGTATATAAAGAATATACAATCACACATCAAGAACAGTATACGTCTAATGCTCTGGTGTGTACGATTCTAAACAAAACAGAAAAGAAAAAAGAGAGAGAGAGTAAAAGAGAGAAGATAGAGAAAGGAAAAAGAGGGAGAAATAGAGACGAATAAAGAAAAACTCGTTTTTAAGAATTATATAAAACGTCAAATATGAGTAATAAACAAGTTACATAACTATGTCCATAAAGAATAACCGAAGATCTTTGAAATTGGATCAAGTCATTCAAAAAAAAAAGTAAAACATTATTGCAGTGCAACGTAATTACTTTTGCATGCATAATTATTATGTACATGAATTATATGCACATGTCGTATAATAAATTTAAATTACTAGAGAATTATACAAACATTTTAATATTTTTGTGAGATTTTGTAAATACATATAACAGTTTATGGCACGTGTACTTGATATATTTATACATGTGCGTGCGCGCGCGCGTGTGTGTGTGTGAGCGTGCGCGCCTGGCTGGGTATGTGTGAGCGTGCGCGCCTGGCTGGGTATGTGTGCGTAATATATACCAATAACATAATATCTGGCAACATTCTATACTCATTTTATACCTAATAGGTTTTTGCGCAATTAATCTCGTATATGCTCGGTCATATCGTTTCAAAGATAAAATCAAATAATTATTTGATGGAAGGAGTAAAATAGAGGGTATATAAAGAATATACAATCACACATCAAGAACAGTATACGTCTAATGCTCTGGTGTGTACGATTCTAAACAAAACAGAAAAGAAAAAAGAGAGAGAGTAAAAGAGAGAAGATAGAGAAAGGAAAAAGAGGGAGAAATAGAGACGAATAAAGAAAGGTATGTATATAAATAAATAAATAATATAACTAAAAGGATGTGTATGCGCCCAGTATTAGTGTTTAATGTGAAAGATTATGCAATCAGAAATATATAGTTGATGTGACGTTGAATTAACGTCGAAAACTAAATATTGAATAATAACAGCAATAGGCTCAGAGTACTAACAATTATGTGGAAAAATTGGCAAATAAGAGCCAAGGCGCAAGTATTGCGCAAACTTATTATTATTAAATTTTAGTGATAAATGTGTACTAAAAATATACGTTTCGGATTGTCTTTTGGTCTTTCTTCAGCATAGATACAAATAAAGATTATATTGGTATTTCGAAACTTGACATACATAATGTTTGTTGTCGCAGTCAAATTTTAAATTAAAATCAATAATCAAAAAAGAAGGCTCACTAAAAGCCGCGTAGAGTCTGTACAAATTAGTGGAGAACGTCTAAGCGCCATCGCCACACGTCATTATATTGTCACCGACGTCATATCCGTCGGTGGTTTATAATATAATGGGGCACTCTGCTTAAAATGGTGGATAGAAAACGATAGAAAAACTCCACTATCCAAATCATTCGTGATTTTGAATTCCCTATTCTACACATTGTTTCAATAGACCAGCAATGCGAAATTATGATAAATTTACCATATATTGATTATTCTTTTCTAATGTTTTCCAATACGAATCAAAAATATCAATATATTAACCAATAAGAAAATTTATTATGCATGATCTATGCAAAGCTATATTATTCTATACATACGTCTCTGATAAATCTTATTATGTTTAAAAAATAAATATTCGTGAATGTGAATCTATATGAAAATTTATTAATAGCAGTTTAATGATTTCAATACTATTACATACAAACATTATATTATATTTTATAATATTTTTCATGTTATCCTATCCAAATAATCAGCATTTACATATGTTATTCAATGAGAATTTATGAAGCACAATCATTTATATATTTCAATGTGATACCGTAAATTATAGATTTTCAGTACTGGCAGTGAATATCGGAACACGGCCTAGGTTACGCATGAATCAGGGACGGCGCGCGAACGGCGTGCGTGGCGCGTGAGCATGTTGTACGCTATTTTATTATTTCGCTAAAGATTTTATAAGAATTATACATGATATCTAAATATCGCTATTTTGAATACAACTTACTTAATAAGAAAACATTTTCTAATTGATATCACCGAAGCAACGATTGAAAAGTAAAATAAGTAGATTAGATAACACATGAATAATTTTGATCCAAGGTTATTGTTCCAACATTCTAAAAATGGTGTTATCTAATCTACTTATTTTACTTTTCAATCGTTGCTTCGGTGATATCAATTAGAAAATGTTCTTTTATTAAGTAAGTAACCTTCATTTACTTTCACATTGCAACATAATATTTATTTGTTATTACAAATTCCGATTATTTTGGTTCTTATACAATTTTACAAAAGTTTCTCAAATTTCAAAGTTACAAATGACTGTTTAAAATATGTTTTGAATAAAGTAATTTTCTTGCGGTATAAGTCAAATATAAACTTTATTTGCATTAACAAATAAATTATAAAAAAACAATATACAGCAAACGTAAAAGAAATTTACAAATTTTTTCAAGTAGCAAGAGAAGATTATTATCAGTTAAATATATATTTATGCAACTCTATTTATCTGAGTTCCACATAAGAACAATGTGATTTAAAAATCATATAGTTTTATACAATAGTCTATTTATTTATATTAGCACTTAAAAGCAAAATTAGAAAAATGATTAATTATTTTCAAAATTGAAATATATTCTTTATTGAAAGAGAGTATTATTTCTCGGAAAAATAAAATAGAAACAAATCATTAAATTTATTTTTAGATGTAAAAGATCTTATGGTCTCTTCGAGTTCTAGTTGTGAAACAATGAGTAAACTTATTCCTGAACAATCAAAAAATATTGATATACATTTTTTTGAAACTGATAAAGATAAAAATAATGAAAATAAATGCATTAAAGAAGATAATGAAAAAAATGGAAACGAATATGGAAATTATGAATCAAATAATAAAGAAGATAAAAATGATGATGAAGTAAGTGCAAGTAATGATGCGATTTCAGAAGTTTTTGAAAATTATTTTGATGATTAAAGTATAAACGAAGACGAAAACATAAAAAATGATAAGACCATAATGTTTGAAAATTCACAAACAACAGTTTCGCAAGTTATTCTAAAGGCCCGTCTACATAGGACGCAACACGCCAGACGCAAGCAAATCGACCAATCACAGTCGATTATTCCGAGAATATTCGACTATGATTGGCCGATTTGCTTGCGTCTGGCGTGTTGCGTCCTATGTAGACGGGCCTTAATGATTCATACTTATTGCGTGCGATTCAATGTATCTGATGAAGGAAGGCATGCTTTATTTAATATGGCTAAAATTTGGGCAGACCTAAAAGTTGAAAATATTAATTATACGAAATATAAGCTAAGTAAACATTTAGATCCTCCGGAAAATATTTATCAGTATATTTTTTATTGTTCTAAATGCAATTGTCTACTAGGAAAATTTGTAAAAAAAGATTTGATATCAAATACTCAAAGTATTTGCGAGAAATGTCAACAAAATTATAAAATAACTACTAATGCAATGAATTATTTTTTGAGTATAGATGTTAAATTTCAAATGAAGACTTTATTAGAAAATGTAACTATACGTAAAATGTTACTGGAAAATATAATTATTATTAAGAACAGATTAAAAAAGAAAAGAATAAACACTATAAATGATGTATATGATGGAGAATTGTACAAAAATTTATATAACAATCAACAAGAAAACACTATCTTATTAACTTTTAATTTCAATTCTGACGGCACACCGATTTCTAAAAGTAGTAAAAGTGGTATATGGCCTATTCAAATAATAATTAATGAGTTACCACCTCGAGTACGGTTTAGATATATTTTGCTTGCAGCAATGTGGATGACGAGATCTGAACCAAGTCCATTAACAAATAAATTATAAAAAAACAATATACAGCAAACGTAAAAGAAATTTACAAATTTTTTCAAGTAGCAAGAGAAGATTATTATCAGTTAAATATATATTTATGCAACTCTATTTATCTGAGTTCCACATAGAAACAATGTGATTTAAAAATCATATAGTTTTATACAATAGTCTATTTATTTATATTAGCACTTAAAAGCAAAATTAGAAAAATGATTAATTATTTTCAAAATTGAAATATATTCTTTATTGAAAAAGAGTATTATTTCTCGGAAAAATAAAATAGAAACAAATCATTAAATTTATTTTTAGATGTAAAAGATCTTATGGTCTCTTCGAGTTCTAGTTGTGAAACAATGAGTAAACTTATTCCTGAACAATCAAAAAATATTGATATACATTTTTTTGAAACTGATAAAGATAAAAATAATGAAAATAAATGCATTAAAGAAGATAATGAAAAAAATGAAAACGAATATGGAAATTATGAAACTGATAATAAAAAAGATAAAAATGATGATGAAGTAAGTGCAAGTAATGATGCGATTTCAGAAGTTTTTGAAAATTATTTTGATGATTCAAGTATCATATAAACGAAGACGAAAACATAAAAAATGATAAGACCATAATGTTTGAAAATTCACAAACAACAGTTTTCCAAGTTATTCTAATGATTCATACTTATTGCGTGCGATTCAATGTATCTGATGAAGGAAGGCATGCTTTATTTAATATGGCCAAAATTTGGGCAGACCCAAAAGTTGAAAATATTAATTATACGAAATATAAACTAAGTAAACGTTTAGACCCTACGGAAAATATTTATCAATACATTTTTTATTGTTCTAAATGCAATTGCCTACTAGGAAAATTTGTAAAAAAAGATTTGATATTAAATACTCAAAGTATTTGCGACAAATGCCAACAAAATTATAAAATAACTACTAATGCAATGAATTATTTTTTGAGTATAGATGTTAAATTTCAAATGAAGACTTTATTAGAAAATGTAACTATACGTAAAATGTTAATGGAAAATATAACTATTATTAAGAATAGATTAAAAAAGAAAAGAATAAACACTATAAATGATGTATATGATGGAGAATTGTACAAAAATTTATATAACAATCAACAGGAAAACACTATCTTATTAACTTTTAATTTCAATTCTGACGGCGCACCGATTTCTAAAAGTAGTAAAAGTGGTATATGGCCTATTCAGATAATAATTAATGAGTTACCACCTCGAGTGCGGTTTAGATATATTTTGCTTGCAGCAATGTGGATGACGAGATCTGAACCAAGTCCACAATTTATGAATTTGTACATGAAGATATTTATTGATCAATTAAGAAATCTGATGGAAAATGGAATTACAATAAAATTATCTAACAATAAAGAAATTATCTTCATACTAAAACCTTTGTGCGCAGCAGTAGATTCAGTAGCACGACCTGTTATGCAAAATCGTTTGCAATTCAATGGTCATTATGGATGTAGTTGGTGCTATCATTTTGGAAAATACGAAGATGGTGCTATGCGATATCCTTTTGAAGATGAAGATTCTCTTTTACGAAATTGAATAACCAGGCATAATGCCCGGTCTACAATGAGGGCCAATTTCACCAAGTCCGGCTAGGGTGCGTTCCGTTTCACGCATTGAGTGCATAGATCGCCTGGAAATCTATAATATATGTTACGATAAAAATTCACTCTCCCGCAAATTTCGCGCGCGTGTCTGCGCAAACGAAACCTTTCTCTGCCGTTGCGTTCCTATACTGCGCGTCTCCGTCGAGACGCTTTTATGTGCTCTTACTCGACTATTTACACTGCAGAGATTCGCGAATTTATTATCATTTGCTAATAGCGAATTCGATTGGATCCCATACAGCACACAAAGATTGCATACATATTGTAGCAATCTTTCACCGCAATATTGCAACTTTGCAAATTCACTGCAAAATGTTGCTGTATCATTGCTGTGGAATTGCAGCAATGATAAAATGTCCGCTTTTAGGAATATTGCATCAAAATATTGTAGCAATATTGCAATGTAATGAATTTGCAATGATGTATATATATTTATTTTTGGGTATATAAATGTGTAATTATTGACGATACATTGTAATTAAATGTCTTTATTTGTACTTATGTTAACGTTATAAATAACATAACATTGCACATAACATATTATTGCACTTAACATGTTCACGAAATAAAAATATATTTTTTTTTATATTAGAGATATATATAAAAATGGTTCAGCTTTACGCGGCGCTTTTATTACCATTAATAATTTATTGAATTTTGTCCATTATTGTTTTCCTTTGTTAAATGTCTGTAAAAATAAAATAGGAGTTAAAATTCATATTTGCATAAAAATATACATACTGCAAATATACATAAATATTTTTATCAAATATTTTAAAGTTCATATCTACAGCAAAATAGAAAATTAGAGAAAGCAAAAAATATCCACATAAAAAATATACGAACATATATCATAGATAAATATAATTTTTACTTTTGCGATCTCAATAATTTTAAGGTTATTAACCTAGGTTATTAACCTTAGGACATGCTATTCTATTATGATTAATTAATACATAATATATATAGGTTGCTATAATAAAACATAATATTATCAAAAAGTTCTTACCTTTTCTCGTACGCAACAATAAAAAATGTTAATCACGAAATACACGACAATCACAGATATGTGCAGCAAGACCGGCGCCTACTACACACGCACACAATTGCGAACGCGTACATGTGCTGCGCAAAGCATACAGTGCAGCAATATAAGCCAATTTAAGAAAAATGTTTTAATAAAATGAACCATTTAGTATTGTTTATCGTTAACATCTTTCATGTAGAAATATTGCAAAAAATTATTTTATTATAATATTTTATTATTAAAATTATATAAAAATTGAATTGCAATATTTCCGAAATATTAATGTCATGTTGCCACAAGTGTGCTGGTACTTTGTGGCTCTATATTTCTGCAATGTCTTTGTAATGTTGCATTGCAATTTGCAACATTGCAATGTTGCTGCAATATAATCGCAATGATCTGTGCTGTATGGGCAATAGCCAACAAAGCTTGCTCATCAAGATGCCGTATAACCGAGCTATACTTAACGTCATCTGAGCGGATCCGAAAAACCAAGAATTCGCTTTCTAATTGAGCAAACCACAATTTAGGCTGCTTATGCCAAAAATTCGGCAATTTAACAAGGCGAAATTCGTTAGAATGGATCTCGTTTGGCTGACCTTGTTGATGAGGCTCATTAGTGGCAAGAGTTTGTGTCGGATTCATCAAACGTTCATGATGTTTTCCAGCCGATGGAACTGATGCTGACGCTGTAGGATTCGAAGTCGAAGATTCGTCCAAAGGCATCGTCAAACTCTGTCAATACTCTGCGTTGTGAATTTCAGAAGTCTAGTAGATCGCTGTCCTTGGAAATTCGATGACTCGAAAATCTCGTCAACTCGAAGAACACAAGCCACAAATCACACAAGAATCACAGCGGAACTCGAAACTCGATGGCTCACTAAATTCGCGGATCACTGATTCAAATTCGCCACGCTTGAACGTGAATTCTCAAAAGCCCGTGATCACGTCGAGGTCACCAGTTGTGGTAGCGCTATAGTTAAATCACTAGACTTTCCTGTTTAGTAATAAAATATTTAATTCACGAGTGAGATGTGTACAGATTGATGGTCAATGAACGAACGAATGAATGTTACATAATTTGTCGTATGTTTAATATGTTGTTATGTAAAGTGTTAAATCAATAAATGAAATGTGTGAAAATGGTTACAAATATATTTCATGAAGTTGGTAACAAAAATGATTTTGAATTCAGCCGCAGGAACGCCACATCGGAGTTTGCCCGTCACTCCTGTCTTCTTCTTCTTCTTCTTCTTTTTATGGCTGGTTGGGCATTAGTCGCCCATACACCACTTAGAGATTAGGGCTTAAGGCAGCGCGAGAAATGTTTAAGGCCGAAAATACGTCATAGTTTAGAGGTTAAGTCATAAGGTTTAGGGCTTAAATCGCCTATTGTAGACCGGCACTAAGGGTAACGTGTAAACGTAGTCATTGTAGACCGGGCTTTACTGCTTAAGTTTTTCTATGTGCCACTGGCCTTGATTAGAAAAAACAAATCAGAAAAACAATTGGGCTAAAAGGAAGAAAGAACAATGCACTATATTTCAAAAGGATGAGATATAATACATTGTAAAAGAATGTGAGACGATTACCGGCGATATGATATTGATGTGTTTCATTGATGCACATAAAGATTAATAAATAATTGAAGTAATTATTATATTATAATATAAGATGTCAAATTAATATTCTCTGTAACGTTTCAAATTGTGAAATTGTGGCATTGTTTGATATAACAAGAAATAATGGCGGCGAAAATATATCAACCTGATCAAGAGTTGGAAACAAAAGTTAAAAAGGGTTAGTATTATTGTGTTAATATATAACGTAATTTGTAATGTAATGAATCTTAACATCCATCTTTTCCTAAGAAAAAGTTTTCCAATTTGCTTTACATCGTGTACTTTTTTTTGTTTATATTTACTTGATATTGTGTTGTAGCGACTGAACGTATATCGGAGAACATGCATATCGTCGCCAACGAACCGTCACTCGCCTTTTATAGGCTGCAGGAGCACGTGAGGAAAGCGTTACCGCCAATGGTTGAGAAACGCGTGGAAGTGCTAGCATTGCAGCAGCAATTGCTGGGCAGATGCTACGATGTGGAATATGCTGTCAGTGCCATCAAGACCATGCAAGGTGCTGAGAAAAGCTTTAAGAATACCTTGGAATTTATCAAGAATGCGATATTCTTCAAGCAACAACTCAAGTACGAGGAACAGAGACGGCACAAAAAAGATGGCAACAGGGACTCTGTCTATAAACGATTATCAGCGCATATTCCCACGTTGGATCATTTACCGGATGAGATATCCGATGTCGTGCGTGAGACGGCAAATCGCGTGGAGTCGATAATGAATCACGCCAGGCATTCGGGTGAAATACAAAAATCGGCCACTGTTCATAATTAAAAGTGTATGTATTATAATGATGTTTGGTTTTCTGTGATAATTTGCTCGCTATAACACGCGAGTTTTGTACATAAATTACATATATAATGCTATATTTAGACATATATATAATTGCATATGTATATATATGTATATATATATATATATATAATATTGTAATGTATAATAATTGTAATATAATATAAATATTCTCAACCTCTTATTATCTTATCATTATAACTGCAATGATCTTTAGTCTTACAGCTGTATGAATATATATTCATTTTTCATCAAGTTATATTCATATTTGTGCATATTACATTATTCATTTGTATACATTTACGTTTCAATTATAACATTTCAAATATAACTCGAATTAATGCTAAATGTTAAAAAATACTTATTGTATCAGTAATTGAGACAATATATTGCAGTAAACTTTTAACTTGTGCATTATACCTCAAATATTCAGTTATGTAAATAATATTTAATTTCATTTTTAGATTATATGAAAGAGAGAAAAGATTATACAATTTTTCAGTAAACTACCACCAGCGTTAATAAATTCTATATAAATAATAATAAAAACGTGATTAATAATTTTTGAATGAAGCTCTTTTGTGATTGGAGCAATTTTTCTGTTGGACTAAAAATATTTAATTATACACAACCGAAGATAGAATTATGTAGTTGTTAATCACATTCAGAGTGATTTAAAATCGAGATTATATCAATATTATGGCAAAGGTAATTATCAGATAGAAAAGATAATCAATAAATGCTACAACACATTCCTGAAATGTCCTGCAGATGTCGCGAGGCTGTGCACGACTTGTCGGTTGTCGTCTGCCATCTGCATTGGTTCTGCATTTATGCAGCATTGCTGTGTCAGTGTGTGCAACACGATGCAATCGAATAACGCTGGAATGATATGAAAGTTAATTGAATGTATCGAAGGGGTGGCGAGGATGCGCGGAGGACGATGCCTTCTTGATAATATCACCGGTGTTACCCGGCGTATTATACAGTAAGTCAGTCATCATTCCTCGTTTTCGCACGCTTAGGTTATGTTCTCGCTGGATATGCGATACCTCGGTCGCTTAGGATCGAGGAATCATTTATCTACACGCGATTTTGAAAGCACATAATTCGCGCGCAAGTGCGTGCGACAAACGCTGAATATGTTTATCGATATAAGGTCGTGGATTTTTATAAATTTCTTGATATACATATATTTTGATATTTCTCGGAGCGTAATCGCACCCATCTCTTCAGTCCTCCCTGATAAAAATTTAGATTTGTCATTTAGCAGTGACGTGGCGCTCAAATTTCAAACAATAGTTTTCTTTTCGATGAATTTCCTGTCTTATATTAATAATAACATAATATCATCCTATAGCTTTTGAAATTTTCTTGCATTTTACTGGTATATATATATATAT